CTCCCAAGCCTTTTTATCTCTCTCTTTCTGCATCGCCATTTTCAAACTTTGTTTATACTTTGAAAGTTCGTGCCGTGCCACCCGAGGATGGCTCCTTCTAGCCTACGCTCGGCTCTCTTCCAAAAGGGAAATCGCTTAAGCAATTCTTCGCCCCGCCTCTCTCCGCTTTTAAAAAGTCTCTTTTTTACTGTTGGGGGGGGGAATCCTCCCTCCTCCCTTTCGGTTTCCTGGGGGACGGGACTCGCTCGAGCCGCAACTTTTATGTTGATCACCAACTCACAGTTAGTCGCATATGCTTTTCTTCCAGCTTTGACCTTATCGTTCCATCACTCCGATATTCCGGCGGCTTTGCTAATCCTCTTCACGGGGCACAACGCAGTTGGGGCCATTTGGGGCAGGGGAGACTTGGACGGGGAGCCTCAATTCCCGGCTTTTATCCCAGTAAGAGGCTTCTCCCAGTCTCCCAGGCGCGCCCCCTGGTTCGGAGCCCTGTATCCAAAGCTCCTTAGGATCTCCGCATACGCGGGACCCCCCCCAGGCAGCGTGTGGGCGATCCGGCTCCGGGAGCTTGCCCGAGAGTCGGTCGCCAGGCGCGCAGCCATGACCGGAAGTCTCAAATTATGGATTATTGAACTGAATTCTATGGGTGCTAGAGCACCATCTGGTTCTATGAGCATTATGCTTTCCTGTTGATTTTTTGGCAGGCAGTTTGGGTATTCATGAACAGCTCAGTACTAGGTTTCTATCTGTTTATTTGAACAGTACAGTGCATTTGACAGGATTTCATACATGCATGTTTCACCCAGCCTGGTCAGAGTCCTTATTCTTCCTGACCTGCTATTGCTGCATACCATTTTATGACCAGTTGTTTAAAAAACAGAGAGAGCAATCCAGAGCAATAATATCATGTTTTTAAATAGGCTTTACCATTTGCTATTTGTCTGAGTCTATGTTATTTTGGCCATATAGGTTTCCCCTTCTCTCCTGCCATTGTTTAGTTACTTGACTGAACTATATGCAACCCTGGGGGTGGGGGGACTGATTTCAAGTGCTCTGCAGGTACAAAAGTGTCTTCATGGTGGATGCAAATGAAACTTTACCATCACGTTCACTGTGCCACTGCAAAGCTCTCTGGTGAACTGCTTGAATTAGATGGGTGGCAAGGCAAGGAGACCCAAGGCACAGGTTGCAAGTGACTGCAACTGTTGAAAACTATGTAGTCACTCGCTGAACATGTTTGCCACAAAGTTCTCAGCATTCCTACCGCATACTCATTCAAAGGTGACCTGGGCATTTTATTTAGATCCCCTAAATGCATTTCTTTACTTCCCTTTTTGGTGAGCTAAATCTTTTCGTTGCATTAGAATTTTTTTTTAACCAAGAAGACAGCATTAAATGAGTGCATCCGTTAAGTGTATATGTGTATTTTTCTCCCAGATACTGTCAGTCCTCTGCTTTGTGCCCCCAGGCGACTACTTACAGATTTTGAGACTCAGCTCTCCTATTTCCTTTATATATTTTAAATCCTTTCCCCCTCTAGACTTCATAAGAGAAGATCTTGACTTTGTGTACCTCGAGTAACATAGCTTTGGGGCTGAAAGTTAGAAATTGTTACCTGTTAAAAGTTTCAGGCTCCAAACTTGGCACACATCATTTAGTTTTTCATAAATGAATTCATTCCTTGCTCAGGAGGTGGTTGTATGAAATGTTTCTGATAATGTGGACTTCTGGATTGCTGCTTCATTGTTAATGGTAAGATATTGAAGATGAGGATGAAAATGAAGAAATAAAATAAAAGTGTATGCAGAAAAGAATATTGTGATACCTTCATGAGTAATATGTTTATTGTGCTGTAAACTTTCACAGATGAGAGTTAACTCTATCAGATGCAGGGGTAGTTTCAGTTGTGTCTCTGTGTTAAGTGCTGTCAAGTTGCTTCCGACTTATGGCGACCTTATGAATGAATGAGCTTCAAAATGTCCTATTGGTAACAGCCTTGCTCAGGTCTTGCAAACTGAGGGCTGTGGCTTCCTTTATTGAGTCATTCAATCTCATGTTGGGGCTTCCTCTTTTTTTGCTGCCTTCCACTTTTCCTAGCTTTATGGTCTTCTCCAGTGAGTCGTGTCTTCTCATAATGTGACCAAAGTACAGTAGCCTCAGTTTGGTCATTTTAGCTTCTACAGAGAGTTCATCCTTGATTTGATCTAGAACCCTCTTATTGGTCTCTTTGGTGGTCCATGTTATCTGTAAAACCCATTTCAGTTAACAGTTGCATATTAATACAAATAGAAGAATGATATCAGGGAGGGGAATGGATTTTTGTGTTTTTACTAGGGATGGGCATGAACTGGAAAAATGCGGGTTTTGTTAGTTTGTGGACAAACCATGAACCGAACCACGAACCAAACCAGGAGGTTTGTTTGCGACAACAGGGTTTGCAGAAAGCCCCCCAAAAGTTGAGCGACAGGGAGCAGCCTGCCCCCTGCCACTCAGCTATTTTGGGCTGCCTTGTGCAGTCCCTTTAAAATTTAAAGGTGCCTCCCCACCACTCAGCTGTTTTTGCAGCTTTCACAGGGAACAGAAAGTAGGGTTTAAAGGGAATCCCAGTTTGGTATAGTGGTTAGGAGTGTGGACTCTAATCTGGGAGAACCGGGTTTGATTCCCCACTCCTCCATATGCAGCCAGCTGGTTGACTTTGGGCAAGCCACAGTTCTCTCAGAGCTGTTCTCTCAAGAGCAGTTCTCAAAGAGCTCTCTCAGCCCCATCTACCTCACAGGGTATCTGTTGTGGGGAGAGGAAAGGAAGGAGATTGTAAGCCGCTCTGACACTCTGAGTGAAGGGCGGCGTATAAACTGAATCTCTTCTTCTAATCCCTTGTTTTCTGCTCTATCCATGAACTGCTTTAAAATTTCATGGCAGTTCATGATAGTAGACCTGTCACAAACTTCAGTTCATAAACCATGAACAAGGCAAAATTTGTGATAAATTTTGCTTTGTGGTTCAGTTTGTGCCTATCCCTAGTTTATATTCATGTAGTATATATAGTCCGTGAACTACCATAAGATGGTTCATTGTTTTTGCTGCAACAGACTACAGTGTTGTTAACTTCTAAAAATATATATATCAAAAAATCATTCAATATTTGAATTGAACTTGTTTGGAATGCCTGTTCTACACCTCCTTTGTGATTTGCTCACAATTCAAAATAAGCAGCATTTTGAGCAGTATCACATCTGCACAGTGATGGCATTCAGCATGTTAGCTGGCAGGGTAGCCCCTGTTGGTGTACTTTTACAGTTTACTGGATTGCCTGTATTATGTGTGAACAGTTGGTGGCATTCATCAATCAAAGCAACCAAGACAATGATCTTTTTTGTACACTGAGATTTCTCCCTGTTGGATGTATTGGGCAAATGGATTGAGGAGGAAGGCAGCCATGGCAAAATCTTTGTAATCCAGATGCATCAAACTCTCATCTCACTGTTCAAGCAAATATCAGGAAAAGGATGAGAGAGAGATGGCAGCAATGCAGCAAGTATTCGGGAGCATGGTGGAGAAGGTTAGCTAGAAGTCTTCTTGCTCTTTGGGTTTTGCATACCCAGGAAATTTTTCATCTCGATTCTTATTCAAACGTACAATCCTCCTGTTCACATAGAATTGAGTATATAATGTGAACTGCTCACTGTTTGAATCAGCTCCAATTATCTTTTTCTTTATTGGCACCAGATATATTTCAGACAGTGGCTTGTATGCTACAAAATCTTCTAGTAGTGCAGAGTGAGACTTCCCTTCAAATTTTGTTTGTAGGGGGGGCAGCCAACCGTCATGGGCAGCATATGGTGGGAAAGGGGGCGATATGCACCCTTCAGGTAAGAGAAGTGTCCTTCTGTATCAGAAAAGTGACAGGTTCCAAGTCATTGCTTATAATGAACATTTAATAATCACAAAAACAAAGCATTTCAACAGAGTCAATAAAGACTATTCTAGGAAGGTGTAGTGAAACCAGCCACCAATCTTTAAGGACTCGTCTATCCTTGTTACTCTGCAGATTGGTCTAGGAATACTGGGGATGTAAACTTAGAATTCAGAAGTAGCACAACTGCAGTAACCATTCAGGGGAAAAATAATGTTTTATAATGTTAAACAATTGGACAGTGTCCTCCTAAATTGCAACAAATTTCACAGGCTGTAGCTTGATATGTGGAGAAACACACCAAAATGTGTGTTCAGCTATATAACTCTTGCCAATAAAGTTGGTTTTGTGAGTTGAAGACTGAAATCCTGTGAACACTTTTCATGTAGCATCTTCAGATGAAGAATTCTAGTTACAAATGTGAACCCATAAGCTAAAACAGTTTCTAAAAGTCAAGTAACGGCATAGTTTTTGATATGTAATAAAGAAAAGTATTATTTTTAGAGCAGATCTACATATCAAATAAAATATATCTTACAAACATAATTGGCAGCCCAGCAGGTACTTGACAAATTTCCTTTTAAAAAGTTTTATTTCAAAAACATCCACTGTATGGCTCCAGATTGCATTCATACACTGTTAATACCATAAATCGGGGGGGGGGGAACTAAGCACAGACCAGTGAAAATTGTTAAAAGTGCATTAAGAGAAATCATAGCCATAAAAACGGGGGGGAAACTATTTAGGGGAAACATTTTTAGAAATGTAACCAAGTGCCTGCTAAAATAAAATGGCCATAACTAGCTAGCCTAAGATTGAAACAGATGTCTAGAGAAAGTGTTCTGTAATGAAGGTGTTGCCAGTGGAAAATTCCTTGTCCTTGGCACTGTGAACTCAGAAATATTTTATGCATTTATTTCTTTAAAATATTCCTATCCAACTTTTCCTCCAGAGGGCCCTAGGGCTTATAAAAAGTCCAACAGTATCAATAGCAAGAGTAAAAAGAACAACTGCAATAACAATAAAAATTCTTTTACCAGACTATAACCATAGTTTCATTCACCTCCAGCAATTAATAATAACCATGGACATTGTTGGAAAGCCCCTCCAAACAAAACAGTTTTAAACATAAAGTTAATCAAAGAGGGCACACTCCTCACCTCCTCTGACAGGTCATTCCATACAATTGGTACCATAATTGTGAAGGCTCGGGCTGAGTAAGATCTTGTACTTCTAAGGTGGAGTGTCAACAAGAAGGAGCTGCTCCAAGGAACAAAACTGGTTCATGTGGGTTCATATAAGAGAGCAGTCCTTGGAATTCAGGCTGACCTCATTCATTGTCCATGTATTTCAAGGAAGAGGATGGCAGAGGAGCTTTTTAATAGAACTGAAGAAAGGTTCTCAGCTGTTGGACAATGCATGGCTGCTGAGATACTGCTTTAAAGAGTTGCAAGTTGTATGGGCCTGTTTTAGAGCAACTAAAATTTTGCTGCTGGAGAAGTACAACTTTAAACTGTAGACAGCAACAAACTGAAACTTTCCACAGAACAACAGGAACCTACCTTGTTATTTGTTTCTGGCATATTGTTGATCAAAATGGCCTTTAAAGGTTTGTGGTCTCATAAACTCATTAATTGTATTGAACAAAGTGGAAAGTAGTAATAAGCTGCTAGATGATTAGTCATTACACGAAGAATTCATGGAGGATGACATTCTTACAGCCAAGGTAATCTGTTTTTCTTCTCCTTGTTTACAGGAAACAGAAAACAGCCACTCAGTTACTGGGAAGGGGGAAATCCTCACAATAAATGAAAGCATCATGATAGGATCGTTCAGTTTATAGCCTGATATATTTGAGAAACCAAAATGCCATTTAACCAAAGATGTTATTTAATTTTTAATTGGATGGACTCAATGTGCTAAAAGTACCAAATGTTCTCACCACAAAACAAAAACAGCCTTTAGCTTTGCTTCCCTTTTTATTCTAGAGTTCAAGAGAATACATGTCCATGTTTCTCATATTAGGTAGAGATTTTGAGGATCAGGGCTTGTGTCTGATGTGAGGAAGCAGAACCAACTGAGACAAAGTGCAAAAGTCAATCAGTCTTAACCAAAAAGGGTACATGCGACAGATTGCAGATCCAGTTAGATCAGCAGCCCTTTTGTTGTTGTTCAGTCGCACAGTCGAGTCTGACTCTTTGCGACCCCATGGACCAGATCACGCCAGGCCTTCCTGTCTTCCACCGTCCTCTGAAGTTGGCTCAATTTCATGTTCATTGCATCTATGACACTATCTAACCATCTCATCCTTTGCCATCCCCGTCTTCTTTGACCTTCAATCTTTCCCAGCTTCAGGGTCTTCTCCAGTGAGTGCTCCCTTCTCATTTGGTGGCCAAAGTATTTGAGCTTCAGTTATCTGGCCTTCCAGGGAACAGTCAGGGTTGATTACTACAGAATATCTAACCTAGCAGTTTCTTGGACAATCAAAACTGAATAAGGATGTGGCCAGCCCAGAACTGCAGTAGTTGAAATTTAGTTAGGAGGAATCTTTAATGATCCAGCCAACCTTTGAAGATTCACCAATAGTCATATGTGGACTCATGCCAACCAACAGACCCAATAATGAAAGTTTTATATAATACTAACTCTGGTCCCCTCACACTTTCTATCAGTGATAGTGTGGTGTCACATCTGGGAAAACTCCAGAAGTGTCGTCATGCCTCTTCCGGGATCACTTCAGGGTATTCAGAATACAGCCATGGGTGTTTGGGCTAAGGCTGTCTCCAGCTTTAGCAAAAAACCAAACAAACCCTGAAGAACCTATACAAGGTTAGAGAGGCTGAGACTGTCTCTTCTGCCATCCACAAACAAACTCTCTGATGTCAGTCATTTTTCCATGCTTGATAAGGAAGGTCGGAGGCTGAACTAATTACTATTTAAGAAGGAAAATTGATTCATTGGGTGCTATGGGACTGTGGGTGGCAAACTTTACGGTGATCATGGGGTGTTACCAAATTTTGCTGTGGGGGAGAAATGGCACAATTTGTAGAGATGTTGCCTGATGACAAACAAGCCCTAACTAAAGTTCTGATATTAGAAGGGCAGAAACTAGGCAAGCAACAACTCAATGCATCCAGGCACACTGGTGACTGCAATAGTAGGGCTGTGGCCTCTGGTGTAGTTAGGAGGCATTCGTGGCTGTGATCGTCAGCCCTCCCAAAGGATACGAGAGCAAAAATAGATGACCACCTCTTTTAAAGTTGCAGTCTATTTAGTGAACAGACCGACATGGTCTTGAATTGTATCAGGAAGAACAAATTAATGGCCAAATCTTTGGACATAACACCCAGTCTTCCACTGGGCAGGTCTGGCAACCCTGTCTGGGAAGCTTACAATCTCAAATCTAAGACAAGAAGGGCAACAAAAGAAGGAAGTTAGATGCAGCATTAAACTGTGAAGACTGTGCCTCTTTCCAACTATATTGCTTAAGCAGCATTAAAAACATTTTGTTTCTCCTGAAGTTCCTTGATGTTTTGCAAAGCAAGACTTCAGAATGCAATTTAATGACAACTCTGCCTGGGGCTTAATTCTTGAAGTAGGGAGAATGTAAAGCATTCTCCATTATGGAAATGTTACATCAGTAGTGGTTTGAAAAGACATCCTATATTCTTTCTTTCTGTCTGTACATGCTGCTAGGCCTTGTAGTGCCGAACATTATTTTTGTGATCCTGAACAACTGAGTTAATGGTAGCATTTATTCGTTCAAAATATCTAGTGAACTTAAACAAGGGACCCAAATTAGGTAAAAATCTGTTCTTTGTCTAGAAAATGGTAGCAGTCGCCCTGAAGCAACTCTGGTTTACTTCTGACTGGTGCAACATATTTTTGTTGTAGACATATGATAAAAAATGATAAAATAATAAAAAACAAAATTACTACCACATCATGTTTAAGAAAAGCACAATATTTTACCTGCAGGTATGTTTTCATTACATATTTTAAGAGACAAGTGCACTTTAGCAGCCCAGTCATATTTATGGCAGCTTTTCAAGATATCAGCAGGTCTTTTTTGATTGTATGTTAAACTTCAAAGAACAAGAGCTCCCAGCCCCAAACTCCACAAATGCTCCAACACACACACACACACAGATCTTCTGGCAACATTGGTTCCACCATTCAGCACTTCATAAGGTGTTGCTCCACTTGGAGACAGGAGTGGCACATCACTCTTGATATTGCATACCTCCATTGCATGTGGATATTGTATGTGCACATTGGAGGACCACGCAAGGACTCTGTATAAGGACCCAAAATTTTTCCTTGGGTCTGAAACAAGCTAACAGTGTCACTTAACTGAAATCCTACACGGAGTGACTGGAATGCACAAAACTTAAGCATGCCTCCTGGGGTTTTTGAGGACTTCTGTGTGCTTCAGTCTCCCCTACCCCCAATAAATAGTTTCTGAAAATCAGTATACCTTCTAAAGTGTTCTTTGCCGTACTTTAAAGAACTGCTGTAAGAAGAGGCAAAGACTGGAGCACCCACATATAGGGACATAATGAACTATTTGTATTCTGGTCCCTTATCAATAGTGAATATTAAAGAAGAGAAGAAGATAAGGGTTTTATACCCCACTTTTCTCTACCCTACAGAGTCTCAAAGAGGTTTACAGTTACCTTTCCCTTCCTCTCCCCACAAGAATCACCTTGTGAGGTAGGTGGGACTGAGAGAGTTCTGGGTCAGCCAGCTGGCTGCACGTGGAGGAGGAGTGGGGAATCAAACCCAGTTCTCCAGATTAGAATACGCTGCTATTAACCACTACACCACACTGGCTCTTCATTGATATTTTCCTGAATAGCTTTTTTTAGGTATAAGGTGTTGTGGGGTTGAAATACTAGAAATTCCTAGCCATCAAAATCTAGTTAAAAGACTTGCATGTAATAAATGCCAAGACAGCAGTGGAGAAGAAACTGATCTCAGGAGACTGTAACTTCAGAGAAAGCACTAGTTCAGGTGTTCTCAGATTTTGTGTTTCGCTTTTGTGGTAGAGTCTCACTTTTTTTAGTTATGCATTTTGATCACATCATAAATGTTGGCCTCAGACATATCAGCACCCACATGCTTGCTTAGTGCTTGGAATCTACTTTAGTTTAAAAATGTTCCTCATGTTCTCACATTGACTGATTCTCAAGCATTCTGCATGCAGCAGAAGCTGTGTCCAAGTTCATTCCACTTCTTTCCTCTGCCGACAAACTGGTCACTCTTCCTTTGTCTCTAGACTTTCATACGAATCTGCCCCTCCTAGTCACATCGCAAGTCAATAGAGAACACGCTTGCTGAAGCAAGTTAAAACATTTGGAAGTCAGAGATATTTGAACAACGTAAATTACGTAATCACCATGGGTCAAAATAAGTTTTCTTTTGCTAATAGCTGTTTGCCATGAGTGAATGTTCCCAAGGATTAGGGCTCCTCCTCCCTTTCCTATGAAAATGAGCAAAAAAAATATATGCAGATTACTTTATAAGCATGGAGTCTGTTGAGCACTGAATGTCATGAATTCTTTTTCAGCTCAGAACCCCACAAAAAGTTATGTATGCAGGCTCCCTGTCCTTCACAATGAACTTTTAAATTCTTAAACTGTTGTTCAAAAATGCATTTGTAAATCAGAATAAAATCGACCTCCCAGTAGGACAGTGTTAGAATCTCCCCCCCCCCTAGCTGCTGAACTGAAGAGAAATGAGAGCTGTCCCTTGGCATCCCTTCCTCTTTGCTTATAATTTGTCACCTAAGGTCATATGTCGCCAGGCTGCCATATTTTCAGATGGCGTTTTAAAGAAAAAGGAACAAACTGATGTACTGATAACCAACAGAAATCTCTAATTCTGTCACCAAGTGCCTATGTCTGTTTTGTGCTTGTGAACTGTTAGTGTCACAAATTTAATACATTAAGATTTCTACGTTCAGAAGCTTTTACCTGCTCCCTTAAATAAATGATATTTTTCTTGTGTTATGTGTTATCCCATGTAAACACCCTTTCATTGCTGAAGTCTAGGTAAAAGGGATCCCCCTGGAATGATAAGGATGATGGTGGTTATAAAACCCATGGCCTGTATAAGTGAGAAAGGCTCAGATGGGTAGAGTTTGGATCACTACCTTTTCTTCAGAAGAGGAAGAGCTGCAACTGATGCACTTCTATTCTGAAACGTGCTCTAATTCTGTTAATGGAAGCTCTTATGTCACACATTAAAAGCCTGATTTTTTTTAAAAAAATCTTGGGTGGAATAAATTAGTGTTCTAGATGCAGCCTGTAGCAACTATTCTCACCTTAGCTACAGCCTAGGTTTTGTCCTTTTTTATTTAATATGAGCTTGCATGAAGGTCTTGTTCATTGTCATATGCAATATTTATATAGATTTGACATGCTTTATCAATAATAAATATTAGTAATAATAGTTAGGATGATTATTTGCAGTGAATTAATGTTAAATAGCAGCAATGGTGTTCATTTTGACTCATTGTTGAAATTCTCTCTCTTTCACACCCCAAACCAGTGTGATAAGTTTGTGATATAATTGTGTTCTTTTTCCTCAGATGGAAAGGTTGAGGTGACAAAGGAAGGTGTAAAGCTGTGTACCATGGGGCCTGGCAAGGTATTTGGGGAACTGGCCATCCTTTACAACTGCACCCGGACAGCCACCGTCAAAAGTAAGATCATACTGGAGTTCAGTCTTGAATTATTGTTGGCAAGTGTTGATATTTGGTTTGTATACACTTTGATTCCTTATTGGTTCCTTGAATTGCTCACAACTAAAAATGTTTTAAAGCAGTAGACATTTACAGATTTCATCCATTGTATAATTTCTAATAGTGTAGCATGGACAGTCTCTACAAAGTTATGCCATTTTTAGAGTTTTACAGCTACACTGTTTTGTAAATTCTGGTATTTGGCAGTTTTATGATAAACCTTTTTTCTTCTTCAGCCAAGAGCCTCCAAAGCTTCAGTAGTTGACTGGTAAAATTTCCTTTGCAAAACAGGACAAATGGAAATTTGTGCTACATCTACTATGGTTAATATGTGAGATAAAGGAGCTGGAAAGTAGAAGAGAGAGCATTATGGGAATAAAGGGATAGTTGCTCACTTATTATAATGTTCTTCATTTTCATATGCTCTCTGCTTCAGGGTACCTCAGGCAAAGAAACTGAATGGAACCATTAACATGTACAGCTAGCTGGTGCTATTATACCTATTCTTTCTCACACTACGTTCCTTCTCATTCTCATTTTTCCCCAAGATGTTGTTCGGTGTCTGAATTTAACAGCACCATTCTTTTTTCATTAAAGGGGGCAGTGGTGAGGTCAGGGCTATTGCTGTTCTGAATGGAGGCTTCTGGAAAGAGAAATGGGCAGTATTTATTAGTGCATGTTTTTTCATTTCTTTTTTCATGGGTGTTTAAAGCTGTTGGCAATTATGCGTCTTCTTTAGGCAGTTGCTTTGTGCATCATGCCATTTAGAATGCTAACAAGTGACTTCAGTGTAATTTCTCTTGCTCATTAATGCATAAATAAGTGAATGGCAAGCATGATTGTAATTAGCATTATATCCCTTCCAAAGTGCTCTGACAGGGGAGGTCACTTGTTAGAACTGAGAGGAATTTCAGCTAGATCTAGATAAACGCATTCAGCTCCTTGAGGTACAGAGAGCCATTTAAGGAAGATTATTGACTAATAAACTTAAATTATTAGTATTGTCTTTGAAACTCTCATTAGAACATCTGTTTATTGTTCTGTCTGTGAGATAAATTGGCTTACTTGTTGTAACTCTGGAAAGGCAGATGTTCTCAGGAATGGAAAAGAGTCTGAAAACATTGATCCTGTTGATCAGTCAGCTTTGAAAGTGAAAATCTGACTTTTACCTATTCTGATCCATTGAACCAGATGGTGTATGTACCTGGGCCTTCCTCTAGGAGGACTCTGCTCCAAATAAACTCTCCCCTCTCTCCACTTTATGGAGTACACACATCCCCTCCTCCCCCTTATTAGCTTTTTAAACATGAGCTAACGTTAATGTATCTCAGTTATGCTTGCATACTTCCCTTTAGGTGGTTCCTTCCAGTGAGCCTCTCCTGGAGCGTTTCCCTCCTCTCTTTGAGGTTCCTTCGCCAGGGTCTGTATCCAGTTCTGCCTCTCCTTCCATTTCCTGCTCTCTCACGTCTTCTGTGTTGATTCCGAGTTGTTTAAGCGGGGTGTTAGCCTCATCAGGGTTCCTTGCCATAAGCCTCTTCCCTTCTCGGAATATAATAATTGAGGATGGGTAACCCCAGGTAAATTTTACATTGTTTGCATGGAGTTTTTGGGCAAAGGGGCACATTAAGCTCTTTTTCTTAAGAGTTTCTTGGCAGGAATCCTGCCTCACCCAGATTTTCCTTCCTCTAAAACTCAGATCCTTCTTCTTTTTTAATTCTTTAAATATTTGTTGCTGAATTTTTTCTCTAGAAAACTTAATAATAACATCCCGGAGGGACCCATCCTTGCTCCTTCCTTGCAGGCGGTGTGCTCTCAATATCTTCTTGTTGAACCTTGATGCCATTAGTTTCCAACCACCCCTCAAGCGTTTCCTCCAAGTTCTTAGCAGTTATCTCTTCAGAGATTCCTGAAAGAATTAAGTTGGCCCTCCTATTTCTGTCTGAGAGATCATTAATCCGGCTTGTTAAAGAAGTAATCTTCTGTTTGTTTGCCAGAGCAAGTTTTTTTGGCAGAGTTAGCTGTTTGCTTTATGCCAGCTATCTCCTTCCCTATCTTAGCCACGTCTTCTCGTATCATCTTAATTTCTTCACTTATTTTGTCCTGAGAAGCTAGGACTGTATTTTGAAGAACAGCTATTTGTTCTGACAGTTCCTTAATATTTTTTGCCATCTCTGGTAATTTATTTAGGGCTTAATGAGCTAGCCTTTTGCAGCGTTGGGCGCTGCCTCTCGAAATAGCGATAAGTAGCAGTCTTACCGCTCAGCGTCTAAGCCTCCCTGCTGCTCCTGGCTTTCTTCCCTTCTTTTCTGCTAATTGTATGCCGAAGTTTGGCTGTTTACATTCCTTTGAGCTGTAAATTCCTTAGGTTAAGGGGGAGCTCGGAGTTCAGCGTCCAACCTAGTTAGTGCATGCGTGCCTCTGTCACAAAAAATCTTTTATGCTCTGTCAAGTAAGAGGGTCCCAACAACAGGCCAGTACAGAAGAACAATCAAAAGTAAATCCAGGAGCAGTAGGATAGATTTGACAGAAGTAGTTTGTGTTTAGCCATCTACTGGAGCACACTTGCCCACATATTAATAAACTTAGATGATGACGAGTTTATGCCTGTAGAAGTTTGTTGTATTACATTAGTAATTTTATCCATTATGAACTGGTCCCAGATTTTCTCATGCCATAGTGTTAGACTTGGAGGGGTGGGAGGCTTCCACTGAGTTGTGAGCCTAGCCATAGCAAGGAGAATAGCAGTGGTATCTTTTTGAGTATCTATCCCATCAGCGGCTTCTCTCAAATTAAGAAGTGATAATGCTGGACATAACAGAAATTATTGTGACGTGATGTCATTTATCTGATCAATCACTTCCCTCCAAAATTGCTTGATCACTGGGCATTCCCACCAGCAGTGAAGATAATTTCCAACATTGCCACAGTTTTTCCAACAGAGGGCACTGTGAAGAGGATTTCTCTTATTTAATCATTCTGGGGTATAGTACCATCTGGGGGTAAGTTTAAATAATTGTAACTGAAGGTTAAAACTTCTGGAGGTATTTATTGGTGATTTCCAGATGGATGTCCAATACTCTTCTTGTAGATCCATATTTAGATCTTTTTGCCATCTTTTTTTTGAATCCTAAAGGTTTCTTGTTATCAATGACTAGTAGAAGTCTATAAATCATGGGGAGTAAGCCTTTCTCAGAATCCGGGTAGGTTGCTAAAAGAGTTTCAAAATCCGACCTTGGTCTTTCAAAGGAGCCTGCCCTGGAGAGCGATTCCGCCATATTCTTCCATTGCAGATATTGAAACCAGGGGATACTATGTTCAAGAGATACTTTCTCTCTCATTTTGCCATTCTGAACTAAATCTATTGGGCAGGAGAGTCCTGCTGTAATTCAGTCTGTGAAGGCTTCTGTTTCCATACCCAGAGGGAACCATGGTTGGTTCATAAAGGTAATGAGTGGGGAAATACCAGATGCCAGATGCCTTTTTCTCAAGTTCCATATCTTCATTGCGGTCATTAGAAGAGGGTTATCACAAAGTTTTTGGGGCCTGATTCATGCTGGTATCCACACTATCTCTTGTAGATTAAGAGGTGTGATATATGTCTGCTCCATTCGCATCCAATGTGGTTGTGGGTTCAGGAGTAACATTTGAACTATGGTTGCCAGAATAGTTGCCTGATAATGTGTGGGTAACATTGGAAAGCCAATCCCACCCAGAAATGCAGTTCTATATAGGATACGATGGTCAATTCATGATTTCCCCCCCACCCATAAGAAAGATATTGGAGATTTATGCCATTTTTGAAGTTCCTTTTTGGGTATGGGGATCAGCAAGGCATGGGACAAAAACAAGAATCTAGGTAGGGCAAAGCATTTCACTAGATATATGTGATCCGGTAGTGACATCTTGAGCATATCCCCATCTTTAAGGTGTGATCGGATTATGTGGTATAGAAGATTGTAATTGACTTTGAAAAGGTTCTTTAGATCCAAAGCAATCTGAACCCCTAAATGTCTTCACATTTCCTTAATCCATTTGAAGGAAAATGTTGTGTTTCAGCTGATCCCTATTTTTAGTTGATAGGAGAATAGGATATATTTCTGATTTAGTGGGACTAATTTGAAGTCTTGAGATGGTCCCAAAGTTGTCAAGAGTCCTTTGAATATTTGGTAAGAGTCTCAGTGGGTCTGAGATATGTACTGTAAGATCATTCACATTTTATTTATTTATTTGCATTTTTACCCCGCCCTCCCTGCGAACGGGCTCAGGGCGGCTTACACAGGGGCATAAAGGTTAACTTTGTGTTCAGAGTCACCAATGCGAACCCCCGTGGACTCTTTGCTTTTCCGTAACTCTTCTGCTAATGGTTCAATCACTAGGGTGAAAAGTAAAGGTGAAAGAGGGCATCTTTGCCTTGTGCCTCTCGTTGGATGAAAAGTTGATGAGTGAGAGCCGTTAAGCCATACTTTAGAGTTAGGACATGAGTAGATCACTTTTAGAGCTCTTAGGAAATTATTGCCAAAGCCCATTTTCTTCAGAAGGGTAAGCATATAAGGTACTTCCACCCAATCAAAAGCCTTTGCAAAGTCTAAGGCTAATATCACCGTTTCCTCTTTTAAATCTTTACTGTGCATAATCACACTGAGTGTACATCATATGTTCAGTCAATTGTCTTGTAGGAATAAAACTAGTTTGATCTGGTTCAACGTATTTCTCAATGAAAGATTTAAGCCTGTTGGCCAATATAGAAGTAAAAATTTTTACATCATGATTGAGCAAGGCAATTGGATAGTACAATGCTGGGTCCGTAGGATCTTTCTGTTCTTTTGTGAGGTTATTACTGGATCTGACAGCAGCATTTGACACTGTCAACCATGATCTCTTGACAGACTACCTTTCCAACATAAGTGTGACATAGTCTTGAAATGGCTGGTATAATTTCTCCAAGATTGAGGACAAAGGGT